CATTCCCAAACCCAAAATTGAGAAATAAGAATCCAATCAATAAATTGACCTCGATATTTAAACTATCACTTTGTCGAGATACATCAAAATTCGGCAAGCAGTTTCCGCGTTATGAACATTCACATTCACAAACAAAATCGTTCATACGAGTGGTAATACCTCTAGTATTTTATACGTATGACGTAAGTTACGCCATGAGCGAAAGTAATTGGTGCCATTTAGTTAAGTTTAACTATTATATGGAATGTCCCGATTAAGTATAGGCTTTTAATGTTACAGAGTAGACCAGTATTTTTTTGTGGTATGTGTTATTGATGGTGTAACTAAACGTTGTGAGAGTATGATTAGGTTCTGACAGTGACATCCGTCTTCCTATGTGCCGTAACAAGGGTTGCACAGTCGGGGCTCAGAAGCAGGTGTCTTTTAGAGGACCTGTGTGCCCTTTACAGGTGTTGAGGGTGGGGACCGGGGTGGTTTTAGAGAGGTAAAAATCCCACACTCCCTAGTTTTTTATCCACCAAAAGCTAGGCGGCTTTTGAAGGTTATCTCCCGTCATCCAAAAAAGGTTTTTATAGTGGTTTTAAGAGAAGAATAAGTTTGTGGATTACGAGGAACTAAAACAGGGTTCAAATCTTGATTTTTATCTAAATTGTAACTATTATAAGTAAGTAAATCAAAGTCTGATAATTTTATACCTCTATTTTTAGTACATCAGAAAGCTCATAAGTAGATATGCCTTATCTTTTTAAATTATAGAGGTATAAGAATTTTCGGTTTGCGAAAATAGAGCCTAGGTATGTACGTTTGACCTAGAAATCGAATTGGAAGCATGACTGTTCCAGCCACTTGACCAACACGAGACATCCAGCAGTCTCCACTTTTTATTTTTCATAATATAGCATTATAATATCATGCCTTTCATCCTCGAAGGGGTAGGCAGAGGTGTACATTACAGCACTTAATTCCACTGTACAATGTAACACCCACTTTTCACTATTTATGTTATGAGTCCCATGTAATAGGGGGTGAACCTATTGCCATATTATACCGAGCACAATTCCAGACTTTTCGACATGCAACTGAGTTTAAAAAAAATACCAGTGATACTTTGCCCGACCCATGATTCGAACCAGAACCCCTAGCATGGCAGTCGCTCTTACGACCACTTTTTTTTAAGGGGGGAAAATCATCGAATGACTGCCTGGGTGTGGCGGGAAGGAGTGTCAGACTCTTACTGACTAAAAACCACCCCGTTCCTTCTCCTGCACGTCGAGCCGGAGCCCCGGTTACCCGTTAGGTTCTCCGCGACACTTACGACCACTAGTTTGTTGGCCTAACAAGTTAGTTTTATTTTTCAAAAATCGAAATTTTCATTGTATTACACCCAACATTCCAAAATTCTTCAATATACAAACGTAGTTTTGTTGTTATTCTTGAATGGCAACCGAGTCAACACAAGAAACAATTTGATCTTAAAGAGTCAGTTATGTCATAATATGTGAAGCCATGTCTAATGAAGTCTCGCCTACATACGGCTGTAGTGCAGTAATTAGACGGGCAGCTTCGATCCGCGATTATCTATCGTTACGTCACGCGAGCGCCGGTCATGTAGAAAGTAACTGCAGGGCTGTCAATACGGTAGTTGACAACTAGTCAAATTCAATACTTTTATCGAAACGTCAAAAACGATAATATTTTGTACGAAATACTATCTTATGACGTCATCATATTTTCGCATCAAATAGCACACTAATATCTTAAAAAAATGACAGAATAAATCGAAAATTAAGTATATCGGCAAATCAATAAATGAAAGTGTAACTATTTTTTAATATTTAATTAGGCTGAAAAATCAAATTAATTTATTTTTGACCCAGGAAACTACCCAATTTGATTGCCAAAAAATGGCAATCAAATTGGGTTATTTTTAAGTATTAACGTATGAAGAGTGTTCGTAATATAATTTCCGGATTAGGTATACATATACATATAAGTTGTACGGCAGTTTGTATTACAGTAATAAAGCTAGATTTGTAATTAATAAACTCAACATTAATGTAGTGTTTATTAAATACGTGTATGAGACTGCCTCGTTGCTCGAGTGGTCGCAAGTGCAACTGCCGGGCAAGAGGTCTCGGGTTCGATTCCCGGGTGGGGCAAAATATTACTGAGTTTTGAAATAAAATCTCAATAGTTTCACGGAGCCTGAAAATGTGCCCGGTATATGGCAATAGACTCACCCCCTATTACATGGGACTCATAACATAAAATAGTGAAAAGTGGGAATTACATTGTACGGTGGCATTGACTGCCATAATGTGCCTCTGCCTACCCCTTCGGGGATGAAAGGCGTGAAGTTATGTTATGTTAGGTATACAAAGTGTTACTTTTTTAACATTTATAAGCTACTACCTAACGGAGGGTTAAGTAGTACCTAGGCTAAGAGCCGTTTTTTCAATGCTCAGATAAATTTTTACTGAGGAATAATTTACACATCTAAATTTTAACTGAAAACTTGTCAATTTTGTCAAATGTCAATTTTATTCTACGATTAAGAATTAACTGATGATTGAATAATCGGCCCTAAAAATCTGAATATCTTAGGTCCATCAGTATTTTATTACCCAAGTGATCCACTAAGGCAGTGGTTCCCAAGCGGTGGTCCTTGGACCACAAGTGGTCCGCAGAAGAGAAAAAAAATAAACACAAGATTATTAATACGACGGTTAAAGCTCAAATTAAACTTATGTCAAAGGAGACAACTGAGAGAATCAACAGATTGCAATAATCGAAAAGTCATTATTTCTATGAGAAAATGTTGGTCCGGACAACATGAAAAAAAAAATATTAGTAGTGGTCCCTACCCTCCGTAAAATGATGAAAAGTAGTCCTTGACCAAGAAAAGGTTGGGAACCCCTGCACTAAGGGGTAATTGGGGGTGAGCCTATTGCCATATACCGGGCACAATTTCAGACTCCGTGTTACGATATGACTGATTTTTTTTAACACAGTAATTTTTTGCCTGAACCTGGTATCGCACCCGAGACCCCTTGCCCGGCAGTCACACTTGCGACCATTCAGATTATTAATTTGAAAGTTGAAAAAATTATTAATAAAAATAATATCATCAATGACACAAGTGTGACAACTGACAACCCTGTAACTACAAATGTAGTGCGCGTGCGCCGATCGTACGTACCTACGTCGTTAAGATTCCTGCCGACTGTTTACTTACACAAAAATTCCTAACTTATTTCCTGCCGCCATTTGTGACTGGCGACACTCAAGTAAATGGCTTGTTACATATTCTTTTTAACCGATTATTTCGTTAGTCTAACTTTGTGTATTATGTCATATTATGTGACTGGATTTGTATTAGATGTCTATTTATTATTTAGCTATCAAGTTTCATCTAGCTTTGCACCTGTGTTTGTATATATGTATGTCGAAGCGTGAACGGAATTCGTATTTTGCACATTTTTTTGCTTTTCTTTTGTGGTACTTAGTTACGTTTTGTTTTTATGTTATATATCTTTGTTATCTTGTATATTGTTGCCATTTGTTACAATACAAATATGATATTATTACTTAATTCATAGATTTTTTAGTTGCCAATCTTTTAGGGTTGTTTTTTTTATGGAATAGGAGGCAAACGAGCAGATGAATCATCTCAATCTATAGTCTCAATTAACATCTATAGTCTCAATTAACATAATGAATAGTACAATAATCTAATGACAGTCTTTATAGAGAAGCTTCAAAAATCTGATAAGAATGTGGCATCTCCTTTATGGTTTGTGGATAGTGAAAGACAAATAGGGTAGTAGACACTGTTTGAAAATTAAAAATATAATTAGTCCGTCAGTTAGATAATGAAATAATATTAGACACATATTTTTTATTTTGTCTTATAAGGAAACAATATATACTTAGATAAAACGGAGATAAGTTTAGGAGTGGGAGGTTGTCTACGCTACCCTATAAAATGTAGTAAATCGTGACGTCACACGGTATTTCTAGTAGTGGTAGGTTTAGCGGGACTAACGACCGGCAATTCATTTTTATTTATATAGATAAGGAAACACAGTACCTAAATAAAAAAAAACATAATTATTTTTTTTTACTTTGTAATAATTAATTTTAATTTCCTAGATATAAATTAAAGTTACAAGAGTAAGTACCTATTTGAGAGATTTTATATCATCCATCGTAAAGTGATTCTAATTTCTGCGTAATCTCTTCCTATGTGTTTCGTAATTTTGATTAATAGGTACCTCCATAACACTGGTGTCGAAAGGTAATCAATCACAACTCGACAGGCGTTAGTAAAAACAATGAAATTGACTAGGAAGGTGAAGGCGGATGAATAATGCAGAAATTTTATTAGATTTTGGTTTTGTAATCGGAAGGTAACCCTTCCTGTCATGGTTTGAGGAAATGTGACATCCAACTTCCAAATCACTTTCATTTCAGGAGGGATAATCTTATAGGTAAATAAGTACATTTCTGGTTGAAAGTAGTTTTGTAAACATCTTCCCACACCTAGGCTTGGTTTCTGAATTGTAGGTGTGTTTACATGCATAACAAATAATAGCAATTTACCTCAATAATTTGTGAAGCACAGAAAAAAAAATGTTTTGAGCGGGAATTAAAACCGCAACACACATTTCAGTTGCCCAGCTACTAAGCTAAGCTTCATTCAAAATTTAATTTTGTTGGTCCTCTAACCATTTTTTATTACTCATAATCAAAAATGGATACAGAGATACAGATTTAGTTTTATTAAAATTCATGTGAGAAATAATTGTCTGCTTAGAACAAAACGTAGTCATTTGACAGTTGCCATCTTACCACACTGACATCTGACATTGACATTGAAAACAACGAGAATCTGATTTGACAATCCAATTAGTCGTAAAAACACTGCAGAAAATATCCGTATTCTGTATATCAGGGGGACTGTATTATGATATTGTAATTGAAATATACAATTAATAAGTATGGATATAACTTCAGCTATCAGTAAGCCGACCAACCTCGCTCCCAACGTCGCCGTAAACGCAGTTTTACTCCCAAGCCAGGAGCTACCAGCTGAAACTCCCATCGTGTCAGGTTACGACTGGGAAAGTGGCATTGACTTCAACAAAATACTCGAAAGCTACACCCGTTCAGGATTTCAAGCCACCAACTTCGGCAATGCAGTGCAAGAAATCAATAAAATGTTAAAATGTCGGTCCGTTGCTTTGACTGAAGAAACAAGCGACCCGTACGAAGAAGACGTGTTTATCAAGAAGAAAACTAACTGCACTATATTCCTTGGATATACTTCGAACATGATTTCCTCAGGATTACGTGACACGCTGCGATTTTTGGTGAAAAACAAGCTTGTAGACTGTATTGTGACAACTGCTGGGGGTGTTGAAGAAGATTTCATCAAATGTCTCGCTCCTACATACGTTGGAGACTTCAATTTGAGCGGGAAAATGTTAAGGACCCGCGGTATCAACAGAATCGGCAACTTATTAGTCCCAAATGATAATTACTGCCGATTTGAAGAGTGGGTAACCCCAATACTCGATGAAATGCTCGATGAACAGATGCAAAATGGTACTGTGTGGACGCCATCAAGAATTATAGCGAAGTTAGGCGAGAAAATTAATGACGAGAGCTCAGTATGCTACTGGGCTTGGAAAAACAATATTCCAATTTTCAGTCCGGCATTAACTGATGGATCTTTAGGCGATATGATGTACTTTCATTCTTATAAGCGGCCAGGACTTATAATAGATATTTTAAGTGACTTAAGGAGGCTGAATACTATGGCTGTAAAAGCCAATAATACGGGTATGATAATTTTAGGAGGAGGTGTTATAAAACACCATATTTGTAATGCTAATCTCATGAGGAACGGAGCAGACTTCGCAGTATACATTAATACTGCTAGCGAGTTTGATGGGAGTGATGCAGGTGCAAGACCTGATGAAGCAGTGTCCTGGGGCAAGATCAGACCGAATGCAACTCCAGTGAAGCTGTATGCTGATGCTACTTTAGTGTTTCCGATGATTGTCGGGCAAACATTTGCGAAGCATCATTTTAGCAATAAAAAGAATGTGTAAATTATTTTTGTAGTTTTATTGTAGCTTTGTATTTTATTGTTTGGTGAATATAGTGTTTTTAGAATATAGAATAGAATAGTAATCTTTATTTCAGGCTCAGAGCTCATAACGGTTTTTAGGGATTAAAATTAAGTTATGTTTAGTTAAATTGAAATTAAGAATTTTTTTTTCTTATACAGCTTTTATTAACACGCCTTTTAGCCCCGAAGGGGTAGGCAGAGGTGTACATTATAGCACTTAATGCCACTGTACAATGTAACACCCACTTTTCACTATTTATGTTATGAGGCCCATGTAATAGAGAGTGAGTCTATTGCCATACACCGGGCATAATTCCAGACTTCGTGCTACTATTGAGATTTTTTTTCAAAAAACCCAGTAATAATTTATCCGACCCGGGAATCGAACCGGAGACCCCTTACCCGGCAGTCGCACTTGCGACCACTCGGCCAACGAGGCATTACAAAATAAAATTTCAGTTTCTGTAACCAGAAAACATTATCTAAACTGCACAGCTAGGAAACTCAACCAATAGCGTTTTTTCTTTTTAATATCTTGATAAATAGTTTCTGATACAAGTACTTTATTGATTGGCAACATTATGTCGTATAAAGAATAATAATGTAATGAAAAGCACGCTAGTGGTACCTACGCGCACAAAGTATAATGAGATTTACGCTGATAAACTTTTATGTAGCATTTACTTTTCTATGAGTACATTAAACTCTTTCAATTAAATTGGTACTAGAAGAGTGCACAAACACATTTACAGATTATTTTAATTATAAACTAAACACGTCATTCTATTTAATTCCCAAAGGGGTGGGTAGACCTCAGAGGTACTCTCATATTTAAATAGTCTAAGACTAAACACATACTTTTTCACCATTTATATTTAGAGTTTCATAGAAAAACACCATAAAGATTTTGCTGAACCGGGAATCGAATCTAAGAAAACTTACTCAGCAGCCGCTCAAAGGCGAAATCTATTTGGGGTACAAATTTATTAGACGTTGAAAAAGGATATAATAAAATAGTAACACTAGTAAAGCCATCTAGTACCAAAATGTAATAATTTTTAACGCCATCTGTTATCGAATAGCCAAGATTAAATCTATTAATGCCATCTGTTGAGTAGTAGCAAAACTAATGCAATTATTATAAAAAAGAGTGAATTTAATTTTGGTTTGCAAATTAGAAAATACACACAAAATTCGTATAAAGTAATGACGTAATAAAGAAATATTTGTAATTTAATATAATAATTAACTAAAAGTAATTAAAAAGACATTTCCGATCAAGCCGGTGTGAATGAACTGTCAAATATGCAATGAAGTTAGCCGCTGTCTGGAATCCCTAAATTGCATTAGTGTGCGTCCATGAAACGCTATTGTAATGATGTGTGCTGTCTGTGAAAGCGGCTTTGAAGCTCCGACCGCCAAGTTCGTTTGCCCAACTTTGTTCATCGTATTCGACGGCGCCGCCCGGCCGGTTGTGGTCCCTGTATATTGTTTACATCCATATTCCTACAACCAAACATGCCTGCCTAACATAATCTAAACAAAAAATGTACGTGTGCAAGTTAAAAAACGAATTTTATTAGCAAGTGTTGCAAATTTATGTGATAAAGTGCGTTAAAATGTGCGTGATGCGTCCGATCCTGGTGGTTATGCTCTTCCTATCCGGTAAGTCGCATCCTTTGAGCCCTTTGGTGAGCTATTTATAGGTCCTTACGGTCATTTCGTGCAGATATTAATGGGAATTTGTTAGAATACATAATTTGTTGCACGTTTCTGTGGAAGCCGACACGCTTTGATGTTGACAGTGTGCGGACGTTCCGAGAATGCCTTTGCCTCGTTTGATGTTATTATGAACGGAGACGCGTGTTTTATGGTTCGTTTTGAATTTAGAATGCCGATTGTTTAGTTTTAACCTCCTTTGTTTTTTAATTTTATTAATATCTGGATAGAACACAACTTTTGCAATGTTTTAAAGTTAATGTTGAAGTTTTTGAAGATTTCTAATTAGAAACACTTGAAAATAAACAATAATATCCCATATAGTTTAATCTGTGATAGATTGATATTGGAATCAAAATAACAATTTTATCAAAATGAATGTAGGTAGCTTCATTTAATCTTTACTGCTCATTTTAGATATTATCAATGATAATAATTATTATATTACCCAAATATGATAGTGCAATTTTATTGTCATAACAACAAGAAGCTACTTCGGTATAATTTTGGCAAAACAATTATGTATTCAATACCAAATTGATTAAAGATACAGATTAAAAATTGTTTATGTACACTTTTTTTTCACATTAATTCTTGATATTTTATTTGGATAATAAGTATTAAAAAATAAAAAGGCAGAATAAAAGAATTCCTTAAAAGACCAGAGATAAGTAATTACTATTTTTACATACCTACAATCATTCTGTAATCAATCAATCATCCTATCTTACTAATATTATAAATGTGATATTTTGTATATTTGTTTGTTACTCCTTTACATGAAAACAGCTGAAGGGATGAGGTTGAAATTTGAAACAGGGGTAGATTATAGTCTGTTGTATCACATTGGCTACTTTTTATCCCATGGGAATGAAAAATTAATCAATAAATATTATGAATATCTGGGACGCGCTAGACTTCAGTGTTCCTATATTTTCATGGTTTTATCTACTGTAGATCCTAGGTTACTGGAGTTGCAGCGGTTCTGGGATGTTGTGGCGTGCTTGTCCCATTAAAAAAAGTATTGTGAACTGGTGCATAATAGACTGACAGGCATAAAACATTGAATCCATTCAGGGAAACAAATGACAATATGTTGTAAAGAGTGTTATCAATGTATTTAATGTTTTAATAATAATTATTTATTGTTACTCCTTGTAACTGCTGTTTATTTACTGTACAGAATAAATCAAATGATAACTTATAATGGTCACTTCCTTAATGTGCTAAAAAATCTAAATCTAATGTTTTTAATATGTAAAAGTCTCTGAATAGGACTACCTATTTTGTTAGATCCATTGATCCGTGAATTGCAAAAAAAAATTAAAAAGTTACTTATGAATTTGCAGCATAGATAAATAATTAACAAATACGATATAAACATTTAGACACCCCTTTTCTATTATATTTTTTACTAGTCATAATAAAAATCTTTACCTTAATTTTTAAATCAAGCTTAACTAATGATTTTATTTATTTTACTGGCTTAACCGTGATTGCCCATTGTAGGACAAAGGCCTCCCTACTGTTCTTGTCCCCTCTATGTAAAGCTTTCTGCGTCCAATCCTTGTCATAGATGTCCAGGTCGTCCCGCCGTCTCCTTCTAGGCCAGCCGCGACGTCTATTTGACGTTCAGCGGGCTTCACTCATGATGGTTTAGTCAATTACACTTTCTACTAACTAAATCCCAAGTATTCACGAATAATAGAAGTAACTAACACTGCATTCCTAATACAAAAACCTCATTAGTACTATCTCCTATTTATTTTTAAATTACAAAGCAAGAAGTTTTTATCTTTCTTCGTAAATATAACTAACAAAAGACAAAGGATCTTTATCCTTATGATAAATCGTTATAAAAAACGGTGATTATTTCAAAAATACCGGTCAGACGGCGGAATCGTTTAGCAAATATTTGTTAATTATTATATTTTTTTGTTTTTTGACCCCATTTTGTCAGGTAGCCTGCCCTTGGTTACGCCTACGGCGCCTGTGCCGCATGACAGGTACAAGACAGAAGGTCAAGTTTTAACACATAGTTATACCGACTGGCAGTATCGTCTTTACCATTAGGGCACACGGGGCCCCCCTACAGGCCCCTAGTAGTCGTAGTCGACGGTCCTGCCGACCGGCCTCCTCTAGCTGACTGTTTTTATTTTTTACACTCATCGTTTACGTTTATTTTTTTACAGTCAAATAAGAGCTTAAAACAAGAAGATCAAAATTTAAATATTGTTAAACCAAAATTAATTAAAATCGCGCTTTAATATACCCAGTTACGTAAAATTGCGCGGTCGGAGTCCTACATACAATACTCATAATATTATTATGTCTTTTTAAGTTTTAGGCACCATTTTAAGCCTATGAATTACTTATGGCCACTATTAAAAATCAATATTAGTCCAGTGAAAGAAAAAAATTGGCGTTTATAAATAAGGTAAAAATAATAAAGAAACAATATAATACATCGTAGTTCGCATCATCGCTTACCACCAAGCGAGATAGTGGTCAAACGTCATCCCATGAATAAAAAAAAATAATTAAAAACAGTATTATGACATGTCCGCATAATATCGTTGAAACGATCTGTGTTAGGTATTTAAATATTTTCGCATATCGAATAAATCTCGTATTAATGATCCTTCTGCGATTCCCCCTGCTTCATGACCGTCTATGGTTCAATCATCGCCACGGGAGACGAAACTAATTATAACTATCACTATAGGCCTATGATTTATGGCATACAGCCTTTGTAGTATATTAATTAAGTTAAATAAGTTCCTTGTGGGTTCGCAAATAAATAGGTGTTCCAGCTGACAGCGAGTTGAAGACAGATATGATAGGAAAAATAAGCTTGACAAGCTGGACTGACTGACAGACTATTATTTATTTTGTATTTGTTGACGTTTCAAAAGTAACAAATTATGGTTTAATTGAAATAAATGCTTTGACTATGACTTAATTTCAAAGATATTTTGCTCCTGAAGAGTGGTAAAAAATCTTTCTAATAGGTTGATAAATAAATGCAAATACTCAAATATTAGTTAGGTACAATTTAAGTGGGTACTCATGCAGTGTAGGCATTTAATCATTGTCATGTAGTCTACTAAATTGAGCGCATCTTTGAAATGTTACGAAATTAATTAAAAACTTGGTACAGATTTTTATGCGTGTCATTTTTAAAGTATCGATTAAAGGACCCCCTCTGACGTTTGACCACTATCTCGTCTGGTGGTAAGCGATGATGCGGGCTACGTTGGAGCATGACTGCTCATAAGCAACATATTCACTTGGGCCTTAAACTGTCAAACACCAAGCGGTCACCGGTGACCGCGACCTATTGTTCTTTAATTGTGTCTATAAAACCGGTACTCGACGAGTTAAAGACACCCAGGTTATAGTTATACCCCTTTAGAAAACACAGAATGGCAAAGAATTCTACTCTATAGCTTAAACCTTTCGAACTGCTATCTGCAAGATATCCAGAAGAAACGCATAAGCCAGCAGTCGACTGACTGGCGATTTAGCAGACTAGTTTCTTTACAAATCCAGTATTAATTATTGCTATACGATTTTCAACCTTAAAACCAAATTAACCAATGAAATTGAGTTGTAATTTGTAATGCAATTACTAGATTATAGTTGCCGTAACCTTTTTTAAACTTGGAATCTTGCAATTTTATCCACTCGGCTAAATGGATAAACAAAGTAAACCCGTTGTTCTTGCTTCAATTAGACTTAACACCTGGTATTTTTATCTTTAGGAATTTTGTTTTAAAGTTTTCTTTATTGGAAACATACTAGTTTAAAATGAGAATGTGTAGTTTTAATGTATAGATAGTCATTGACCTTTTAAAAATGGGCCTTGATCATAATTACCTACTTAATGAAAATAACTATAAAGCTTGTTTGTGTACTTAAAACTAGCCGTTATAGGAAGAAACTGAACATATCATAAGTATTCTCAGCCTTATGATAGATTTTAATTAAATAAATATATACAACTTAAAATATAAACTATAGTTACAACACAACTAAAAACTATAGTTAACTGCCTACAGACACAAAAATCATAACATAATAATAAGTACCTACTTTAGTGGTACCTAACGTGGAAGAAACAATACGTTATAGTTAAATATAGGTACCATACATATTGTAAGTATATCGGAGTAAGGATATCAAAAGCATCAGTTAGATATTCATCAGTAGATACCTACAAATTACACCCAAACAATAGGTATCCCATCCCACATGTTCTCGTAAAAAACCGGCTCATCTCCCCGACTACGTCAAATTAAACCGATTACACGCAAATTCACATCCCTAATACGGATATGCAATCAAGAAATCGTGGCTAACAAACAGCGATTGTAGAAAACAAGTAAAAACTCAGGGTTGCCAGCACCCCTACTACTGAGGGGTTCTGTAGGGGCGAGCTACTATAAAACCCGACATATTTACGAGTTTTGTCTCCCCCCACTCTAGTTTATGTGTGGTCTACGTTGAGAGAGGAAGCGGTTATGTGAAATTATGATAACTTTGAACACGAAATAAGGACCTACTTATTTTTAGGAATGTCATGTCAGCTTGAAAATAGTTTTTTTCATATATTTGATAGGCCGACGTTTGACCACTATCTCGCCTAGTGGTAAGCGATGATGCGGCCTACAATGGAGCACGTCGACGCATAAGCAACCTATGCCTATAATGAAGAAGATTTTTTTACTACTGTGGCTCGTGTGGTGGCTCAGGTCTTGAAGACACTCAGGTTAATGGGTATAATGTAATTAAAGATTCTTTTTAATGTTGTTTATCTACGAATTGTATACAAATCTGATGTTTTCAAACCAAAACTTTATCTAAAACATGTCTATCAAATCATCACCATATCATAACACGGTCTTGCAAACAAACGACTTTTAATTAAACCACTAATTCTAGACCTCCAGAATGTAAAACAAAAATACTAACATTCTAATTTGTAACTATGTATTTACGATTTGTCAACACGAACGAATAGAATGTTGTTTCAAAGCTCAAAACAATCATGTTTGTTTCCATTCACTTCCCTGGAAGTTGTAAAATTCTTCTCATTACGATAGAACAGCTGACAACCTTCTTTGTATATTTTCTCTTTCAGTTTTTATTGACACTTCAAGTTAAAGCCACTGAAAAGACAGCAAACTCATCTTTCATTTTCATGGTGGTCCGTAATAAGTTTTATGGAGGTACCGCATTTGAGTAAAATCTACATATTTCTCCATTTTAAAGATTTTTATGATGGTGTTTTAACTCGTTGAGTACCGTCATTATAGACACAATTAAAGAACAATAGGTTGCGGTCACCGGTGTCCTCGCGGTGTTTGACAGTTTAATTATAGAATTCAGAACGTTCATCATCAACCGGAATTATTAGTCCACTGTTTCTTTTTTTCTTATAATTCCCCACACTCGACAGGGTCTTAAATATCGGATTTAGGTCATCTAAAGTTTAGAGGATGCTGTTACCCGTCTTCCACTGAGTGGTCGCAATTTCAAGATCCCTGACAGCGTTAAATTAGACTTATTATTTATGATATAGGTGGCCATTCTCTCGTCTTAAGACTCCTCCGTGCCTGAGAGCTGAGAGAACGCTTAAGCCCGTCCCAGTTGTCCCATAAACTTCTATGACACTCGTTATAGGTGGTCAGCTCAGAAAGTCTGCCAACGGTTTAACAAGAATGTCTATCCTACCCCTAGTTAGAATGGCAGATATCACTATACCACTCGTATGTAAAATGCTTGTATGCGGTTGAATCTGGTTAAAACCTGAAATAAAAATTTAAGAGTTAAAGAGTATTTTTGTTCTACATTATTATTGTTGTCTTTGTATAGACTCGCAAAGTCTAGATTAGACAGTTGATGAAATATGAAATGGAAGTTAGGTTAACCCCTCGAGCGTCCTTATGAGCACCCGGTGGATCATAAGAAAAAATGCTCTATGCTGCTTTCTCTTTTATAAAATCTATTATTAATGTTTTGTTTTTATTTTGACTGTATTTGTTTTATTTCTATTGTAATGATCCTTGTTTCTTGTGCCAATGGCCAAATAAATGCATTTTCTTTCTTTCTCCAAATGTCACGTGTGCACCCGTTGGATCATAAGCAACGCGGACGCTCGACGGGTTAACTGCCCATAATGCACTAAATTTATTGATCATTTTGCGGTGTCACTTATCCTTTTATTTGGCTAGTGCCCAATAATTCTAACCTTAAGAAAACTTCCTGTGTTTTAACCACGTTTTCGGTGTTGTAATTGTAAAATACCTACTGTCTTGAAATAGGAAGAGATATTAACTCGTCGAGTACCGGTTTTATAGACACAATTAAAGAACAATAGGTCGCGGTCACCGGTGACCGCTTGGTGTTTGACAGTTTAAAGAAGTTTATAGAGGATGTCCCTGAAGTCGACGATCAAATGGCACCAGGTGATCGACAGGGTTCTAGCAGTTATCAGGAAAATATTAAAGAAATTCATATAGTTTTTAAATTACAATGACTTGTGTGTAATTAACAAATAAGTACACCCTGTGCCAGTCTTTTAACTCTTGCTGCTACAATTCTTAATTTTTTCGTCTGTATTTTTGATTACGTTATCCTGAATAGTGCTCCATTCTTATGAAATCATAAATTCTAAGCAAACTACTCTATATTAGATTATTAATATAGTTTTTGATTAACCAAATTTTCTTAATAATATTTTCACTTTCTTTTAAGTGACTGTACTGAAAAAAAAATTATATAGACCCTAGACCTATGTATTATTATATTAAAGTAGGTAACTAACAAAAAATAAAATGCATTTGAATAATTCAATTGCACTCGGTTCTGCAATGGAGAAATAACTTGGAAAAAGCACGGATAAAGCTTCATAATGAAATGACCCAGGACAATTTATATCGGAATAACTTAGAACGTGCAGTCTTGAATGATAATAAAATTCCCGCCTTTCATTACAATAATGGCGTCCCATTTTAAATGCACAAGAAAATTGAAAATCGAATACCTCACTCGCTTATTATTTGTACCGTAAATAAAACCATAGGAAAATCGCGATAGTGCTGATCTGAATTGGACCTTATAGTTTATGAATTAAAGTTAGATTTCGAATAACGCATAGCTTGATACATCGGCAAGTTTTCAAAACGCGTAATGGTGCGCCGCGGTTGAATTTTTTTTCTGTGTTCGAAATGAATATTTTTAAATTTTATTTGATTCCAGGTAGTGCGGAATGCTAAATACAGTTGTCGAAATATTAAAAAAAATATGTGTGCTCTAGTTTTTTTTGAGCCATGTTGGAATATCGCTTACAGGTCGTTAATTTAAACCATTGAGCTATGGTACTTGGTAGTTGCGCTTTACTTCTATTTTCGATGGACACTGATAAATATTAAAATGTTAGTTCAAAATTTACTGCCTCGTTGGCCAGTTGGCAAGTGCGACTGCTGGGCAAGGGGTCTCGGGTTCGATTCCCGGGTCGGGCAAAGTATTACTGGGTTATAAAAAAAAAATCTCAGTAGTAGCACGGAGTCTGGAACTGTGCCCGGTATATGGCAATAGGCTCACCCCCTAATACATGGGACTCATAACATACGTAGTGGTGGTAAACATTGTACAGTGGTATAATGTGCACCTCTGCCTACCCCTTCGGGGATAAAATGCGTGATGTTATGTATGTTATGTGTAGTACAAAAATTATTAGACTATAATAACTTTCGTGAGACATACTTAACTAAATATTATGTTTTCGGCTTACTCACGTAACTATTTGATGAGGAACTCGACTAGTTTCAAGTCATGCTAGAGGCCTAGAGGCCCATATAAATATAAACTAGTAGACTTCACTGTCAAACGGTTACATGAGTAATGTCGGAATACTCAAACGCTACTCAATTTTAAGTCGCGCTTAAGTGTAGTTCTGTCTCCACAAATTCTTCGTGAAATGACAGAGACGGCACGATATTTAAGCACGACTTAAAATTGAGTACCTAACGTTTCAGTATAAGTCGAAAATAATAACCAAATGGGGATGATGACAGGGTATGAAAATTAAAAATATAATTAGTCCGTAAGTTAGGTAATGAAAAAATATTAGACACGTATTTTTTTATTTTGTCGTATAATAAAACAATACTTAGATAAAACGAATCAAAGTTTAGGAGTGGGGGCTAAAACGTCATTCCTTAGTATAAAATGTACTGAGAAGTGACGTCACGCGACATTTCAAATCAATATATCTTCGAAACTATTCGTTTCTGTGAGAAAATAAAAAATACGTGTCTAATGTTTTTAAATAATCTATCAGACGGACATTAAAATAAAAATTAGTCGTCTACCCTACCATTCAACCAACGAGATATTGTCATAAAACGCTAATAAATCATATTAATCTACTGTTTTAAACTAAATTAAGTAAAATTTAATTTTGTTGCAGGGATCGAGCACTCATTTGGATCCGAAGGTAAGTAATAAACCAAAATATTTGGTTCGAGATTGATTTTTAAATCGCATCGACTGCCTCGTTGGCGTAGTGGTCACAAGTGCGACTGCCGGGCAAGGGGTCTCAGGTTCGATTCCCGGGTAGGGCAAAGTATTACTGGACTTTTACAAATAGTTCTCAGTTGCACGGAGTCTGGAAATGTGCCCGGTATATGGCAATAGGCTCACCCTCTACTACATAGGACTCATAACATAATTAGTGTAAAATGAGTGTTACATTGTACAGTGGCATTAAGTGCCGTAATGTGCAGCGATTTGTGTATTAAATATTTCAGATCAAAATCGATTATCGTAACTTACGAACGAATATAATGTTGTAAAAAAGCTGAAAACAGTAAATAACAAGGCAATAATGATCCGTATAGCAAAAAATAACAAATATATAAACCAAAACAGTAAAAATCACACTAACCGCACAAAACCGCATGACAGTTCTAGTCTTAAATAACATCTTAGGAGGGTGTAAGCGTCCATTAGCAACTACTTACGATATAATACGACCTATTTATTACATGGGCATATAAAAGAGGCTATAAAATATCACTTAGGCGATATTTTGACTTACTCGTGCCACCGAAACCGAATTCACTTATAAAAGTACATCATTTTTAACCGACTTCAAAAAAGAAGGAGGTGCGTAGTTTGACCTGTATGTATGTCTGTGCGCGATTATCTCTCGATTTCGTGAACCAATTTTATACGGTTTTCAGAAAAGTGTTTGTTACACTTTTTTAAGGACAGAAAGTCATCGAATGACTGCTCCCTCCTAGGCGAGGCGGGAGGGAGTGTCAGACTCTTACTGACTAAAAACCACCCCGTTCCTTCTCCTGCACGTCGAGCCGGAGCCCCGGTTACCCGTTAGGTTCTCCGCGACTTCGAATCGGCATCGGCCCTGTTAGGCCCCCCCTCATCTGTGGTGGTCTGATGGCTCTTTAAAAACATAGACATAGCCTATCGATTCGGTTTGGATAAGGCTACTCAGGAATCAGAGTCGTAGTGACTTAATCTGAAACTAATTAGTACTTTTCTCAATTAAATTACATACAAGCAAATTAATGAAATTCAAAACTTCAATGAATATAAAAATACAGTGTTCAAAAAAAATCATAATGTAATAAAAAGGTTGTATAACATACTCATAGAAGTCATAGTCGATGGCCTATGACGTCATAACATTTTGTAACCTCTAGTTGAGTACGTAGCGTCCCAGGATGAGTCGACCGGCGGCGACCTTTACAAATATTACTCGCCCTTCAACTCCATATTACGTAAGTTCTAATAAAGCTAGATTATAGATTAAAGAGTTATATATAAGAGGGGAATTAATAACTGATATCAAACCAAAATCTTGGGGTTTTATTATATTTGACTAGCAACGCTCCCCGGCTTCACACGGGTGCAATATGTATGTATTATACATATAAACATTCCTTCTATTAAATCCTAAAAAAACGCATTATAATGGTATCAGGCACGAGACCTCTTGCTTGGTCTTATAATCATTATCTTGAACTGTCAGTTTTTTTTTTAATTCAATGTAAACATTCCTCATTTTAACCCTCTCGCTTGGGGCAACAAAGTCGTCGTTCAAACCTCTATTAGTTATTCAATTGAGTAATTTATTTACAAATAGATTAATAGTTTTTAATGTCCGTGCCTACCTATATGAGATTTCAATTAAACTGTCAAACACCAAGCGGTCACCGGTGACCGCAACCTATTGTTCTTTAATTGTGTCTATAAATACGGTACTCGACGAGTTAAATATGGCTGATTTAAATGTTATAATTCCGTTAAATAAATAACTGGTTACTTAACATTTAACAATACATTCATTGCACTATCGTTTCATTACACAGTGAACGATTTACAATAAAACATTTTACATTCTATACTATTTTAATATAAACTGCAGGTGCAATGAAAAACTTTTCAACAATCGGAAACAACGGATAGCAGTGAAAAGATTCGCCATATTGTGAGCGGAAATGGAAATCATTGTTTGGCGTGTGCCGCGAAATCTAGCCTTTGTATCTTTTATATTCAGCCATTGAATGGGACGCGTTATAAATATTCTAAAATGTTTATGGTCAGCTCTATCTTTTCGTCTGACGTTTTATTTTTTAATTTTCATTGGTGTATTTTTATTGTATATCTGGTTGGTTTATTATTATTGAGACATTTCTATTGCTCTGAAGTAGTCATAAATGGTCAAAGCTATTAATTAAGCTCACGAAGTATTTCAAAATAGCTATACCCTATACAGGTTTTGTCTTGCTTCATATGCATGTCAGTGGCATAGATAACTAATTAATTTCAAATGGTTTGTTCGTTTGAAATCGAATGTTAACACTAGAACACAAGAGCTTATAGAAAAAAATAAAAAATAGAAAAATCCTATTCGCAGAAAGCACATTTTTAAATGTATATCTGATTTGTCGAGTATCCATTTTCCGTATAACGATCTCAAAGAAAATGTAATGCATAAATAAGTAGATAAATATGTAAACGTGAAATCTCCAGGAATCTCTCAACCTTTGTTTTTATTTTTTCATATTTTTTTCACGCGAAACCATTTCTATGTAGAGTGTAGATCGCGCTCCTATAGTGTTGCTTCCAGTTTCAATGCTGGGTAGTGGAGGAGTCATCAAGTGGCATGTCTATTTCGAAACTAGGGATGGGACAGTTATTTATCGATAATTATTTTTTAAAAGAAAGCATTGCAAGCTCTTGCTTTGTGGCTTGAGTAGTTTTAAGTCTAGGCTAGTGGTAAAGGGACTAGAAAACTGGAAAAGTACTTTACGTTAATTGATATCAATAATGCATTCTTCTTTATACATGCGTCACAATTTCTCAAAGAATGAATCAGGAATGATCACTTGTTCTTACAAACAAACCTTACTCCCAATTGTTTTCAAAATAAGTACTCTATTTGTCTCATATGTCAGGCTACTCAGTAATAAAAGACGTCATTCAATGCTTATTGGTCGTGTCGTGTGCACGTAGACAGTGCAACAAAGAAAACCAGACTAATGCCAGATTACTGAAACGTTACTCAATTTTAAGTCGTGCTCAAATATCGTGCCATCTCTGTCATTTTACAAAGAATTTGTATAGACAGAACTATACTTAAGCACAACTTAAAATTGAGTAGCGTTTCAGTATTCCGACATAAGTGTACCTAAATCTATTTAAGGTACGTTAATGACGATGATTGATATTTCAATGAAGCAATTGTAGAAATGCCAATGCCATCATCTCCATGTTTGGCAGCTGGTTTGTAGAATTTTCAGTTATCTAGAATCAGAATTCCTTATTTATTTCTTTAATGATCATGTGCCGTGTAACCAAAAAATTCTTACCGAAACCGAAACCCCATCACAGAAGTTTTTAGGCAATAAAAGTCTGACAGTTGAAATTTCGCGTGTGAATGCTCCATTTTTTGCCGAAGGTACTAAATTGGCACGGCTTAGCCCTCACTGACAACCACTTCGGCACGTTTTGTTCTGACAGTGATGTGGAGAAAATTTCTACATTTCGTATACTTACTTTTTACTAAGTCATCCTCTTCAATATTTCGTACTGTTACTTTTTGGTACACTTTTAGACAAAATTGTAACGACCACTTTTTTTGTAATACGATAAAATTGTTCTAGAAAAGTATCGATAAAGAATATCATCGACACATCCCACATCACTGAGTCATCGTCATCGACTAGTGTAGTGCACGCTTCGTCGCCTACCCATGAATGTCGTAGTATTCTTTTGTCTAGTTTTACCCTCCGTTTGCACAATAGATGTAGATGGTCTAGTATCTTAATGATTGAGATGTTTTGATTGGGGACTGATGTTTGTGCCTTACACGTTTCTTGAAAGGTTATAAATTGGAAATTTATAACAGTGGGGTTCTCTTCACCTGGGAAAAATACAAATAGATCAAAAAATGTTAAAGTATCAACGTTATTTAAGTTATGCAGATGAAGGCAACACTTTATACCTCTACATTGTTGATTCAATTCGTACATTAATACTTTAATATAAATAATTAAAACTAAAATATATACACCTTAAAAAATAATAATACCTCTAATGAAAAAGAAATCATAATAAAATCAAAAATATTTAAGTTATAGTTACTCGCTGTCGTTGACTTTGTATTGCCAAGTGCAACAGTTAACTGCTTTTTTATACATACATAAAATCACGCCTTTTATCCCCGAAGGGGTAGGCAAAGGTGCACATAATGCCACTGTACAATGTAACACTCATTTTACACAAATTATGTTATGAGTCCCATGTAATAGGCGGTGACCCTATTGCCATATACCGGGCACAATTCCAGACTCCGTGCTACTACTGAGATTTTTTTTTAAGAACCCAGTAATACTTTGCCCAACTAGGGAATCCAACCCGAGACCCCTTGCCCGGCAGTCGCACTTGCGACCACTCGGCCAACGTGCCTCGTTGGTGCTTTTTTATACTTTGCTAATAATTACCTTATGACATTCAACAGTACTCCTATTACATACCTTTCAGTAAGAAAAAATTACATCATTATGCATTATGTGATATTAATAGCTGGATACACAGTATTTAGATAACCACTACTCTCTAGATTAAACTAATGGATCTAAATTATTATGCATTCGGACATTACCTGTCAATTTTTATCTCCTATTTGGCGATTGCGATTTTTCAATGCTTAGTTAAATTTGACTTGATGATTGAAAAATCGGCCCTAAGCCTTTTTTATCATCACCAACCGGAATAAGTCCACTGTTGAACAAGGATCCTGCTCCTAAGAACTGATTTGTAATAATCCCCACACTTGGCAATCGGCTTGGCGATCTCAGTGAGGTCACCAAAAATTAATAGGATGCAGGTCCCTCGGTGGTTAGTTGCAGATTTAAGGGCAAAGGGCAAAGTATTTGCCTACAATCCCTATACAAATAAATACTGTCA